CCTACCGTTGAAGAAAATTGAGCATGCTGATAAATTGTCGCGATTGGTACCTGCGAAATGCGAACCTCTGGAAGACTCGGTAATAGCGGCGTTGCAAGCCGGAGACGAAATCAGTAAGGTGTTATACAATACAGTAAAGGAACTACCTGTGACATTGCTAGAGATAAGAAGTGAAGTGGAAAAAGATGAATTTATTCAGAGGACGAAGAAAAAATAGAAGAAAATGTAAAGAATCTAGCAGACATTTTTTCAATTTGTGATCACATATTATTGTATAAAGAAAGGGTGGTCATAACAAAATCGTTACAAAGGTAGATTTTGAAGGAAAGATTTTTGGTGGAAAGATGTAAAGGCTGTGCTGCTGCAGCAAAGGCACCACCTACAATACAAAAACCATGGCCTAAGGTGGACAGACCCTGGTCTAGAATCCATACGGACTATGCAGGACCCATAGAGGGGTTCTACTACTTAATAACGGTAGATCGTTTTAGCAAGTGGCCAGAAGTTTTCAGATTCAAAAACCCGACAACAAAAAATACTATACATTGTCTACATAAATTATTCGCGAGATTCGGCGTCGTAGATTGCCTGGTAACTGATAATGGTACACAATTCACCTCCAGCGACTTCCAAGAATTCTGTGCGACGTATCAAGTAAAGCATATTAAGATAGCTCCGTACCATCCGCGATCTAACGGGCAAACCAAAAGATTTGTAGACACGCTAAAGAGAGCTTTGAATAAAAGCAGAGGACTTACCGACAGAAAGAGCTATACAACAGTTGCTCCAAGTATATAGAATAACCCCGAACGGGGCACACCATCTGGTCTTTCACCAGCGGAAGTGATGTTTGCCCGCAAAATACGGTCTGTGTTTGATAAGTTATTGCCTAACAAAAATAAAAACCGGCATACACCGATAGTACTCAAGAGACCATTCAAACTAGGCGAACGGGTTTATTTTAGAATGTTTAGGAACAATATGGCTTACTGGGAACCATGTAGAATAGTTAACAGACTAGGAAATGCGATGTGCACAATAGAAGGCGAAAAATTTACCCACTGAAGACATATTGACCAAATACAAAAAAGAAATGTTGAGGTGCGAAGCTCGTCGCCTGCTGAAAATGAGGATTCGATGGAGGCGATCTTTGAAGCATTTGAGGAACCTGCAGAATGAGGAACAAATCTATGAAGCTGTACAAACTGAACCTGAAACGCTGAAAAGTTTTTCTCACGGTGAGGCATTGAAAAAGGAATACAAATATCCAGACCGTGAGCCAAAATAGGAAATGCAGTAGCCTCATCAATGCATCCATAATGTTTAGAAACTAAATAATTTAATATAATCTCTATACATGCAGACAATTTTTTGACCCCTATTTAATGTGCACAGCCCAAAAACCTGGTAAAGAGATGCTGGTCAAAAAAGGAAAAGTTCTTATAATTACAATTGAGAAGAACGAATCTCTTAGAAAAGGTGTTGATAGAATAATCCATAAAAATCTTCTCAATTTCTTAATCCACACATGTTTATATATACAGCCTCGAAAAAACTTTTTACTCTTCATATACGTGCCATAATTAATAATTTATACAAACCACGGAGAAATTCTGGTTTGTACCTACGCTTCATGCATTTAAATATACACAAATATATATATATATATATATATATATATATATATATATATATATATATATATATATATATATCTGTGAAGATATATAGAAAATAAGAAGGAACTGGTTAGGTAAATAGTCCACAGTTCCTTAGTATTTTAGTTATTATTTTTAAAAAATAGTGCTCAATACAAAAGTAGAGCATAAATATAATTATTTATTTAAAAATATGATTCCAAATCGCTACATATGTAGCGATTTGGAATCATATTTTAAATAAATAATATATATATATATATATATATATATATATATATATATATGTGTGTGTGTGTGTGTGTGTGTGTGTGTATACACAAATATATATATATACATATATGTATATACATATATATACAATTGTATATACGTATATATATATACATACATATACCCATATGTATACATATATATATATATATATATATATAAAAGTGAACATAGAAGTCAACACTTAGAGGCGACAGTCTGTTTCATGCTATATGCAATCGTCAGGCCACGTGTTCTGTTATTTTTCTCGGCTATTTATATATATACAGGTTAGTGGTGCATTGTGGATATTCTATTATGGCGGTTATTTTTACCGGAAGTCGCTTTGTTCATTTATTTGGGTCAAGTTATATTGCTCGTTTTTATTTATTTTTTATTTTATTTTTTTTTGTTTCTTATTTTATTTATTTATTTATTAACGTAGTAAAAATTTGTTTATATCACGTATTTAACAGTTTTGTTTTGTTTTGAGAATTTAAAGCTATTTGTTCAATTTGGGGTTGGTTGTTGTAGTTCATTCTAACTATTATTTTTTTTATGGGAACAGTTTTTAATTTGGGATTGGTTTGCCTATTTATTTACTTGGATGAATTTAGGTCAATTTATTTTTATATTTTCTTTTTTGGTTTTCGGTTTTAAGCAACATATTATTTATTTATTTATTTTATTTATTTATTTTTTTATTATTATTGTATTTGTTTTATTTTATTTTTTCCGTTTTTTCATTTTTAGGTTACGTAGTAAAATTTATTATCATGCCTGCATTTTGAGATGACCTCGGATCTTTTATTTAATAATTTATTTTGGTCGGGGAAAGTAATGATAGCTATTTTTTCCTACAAGCAAAGTTTGGAAAATTAAACCACTAACCCGTATATATATAAATAGCCGAGAAAAATAACAGCACACGTGGCCTGACGATAGCATATAGCATGAAACAGACAGCCTCTAAGTGTTGACTTCTATGTTCACTTTTATATTTACACACGCTCTATCTCTGATATTGAGCACTTTATCCCATAAATATAGCACTCCTTAAGACTATATTTCTTTTATATATATATATATATATATATATATATATATATATATATATTTTCGAATGTTATATAATTATTCTTCTAACTTTATACAAATAAATATATTGAGCTTTATATTTTGGTATTATATAATTGACCTTTATATCTTATTTTTTCCTTGATAAAATGTCTTATGAAGCTATAAAATAAAATGTTATTTCACATTTTGACTTCTTCTTAACATCGTTCTGAACTTTATGCTCGATACTCTAGATATATATATATATATATATATATATATATATATTATCTATGTATATATATTATCTTTGTATACATATATATGTATCTGTATATAAATGGTAATTCTGTTGGCGCGCCTCTGTGTCTATTTGTTTGTCAGCTGGATACCTCATCCCGAGCAAACAGTTCGTCCGATTTGCATGAAAGTTCACACACAGATCGGAAATTTACCGCGTTCGTACTTAACGTCTTAGGATTTTTCGATTGTTCCTCCAATTTTGGAAAAAAATGATAAAACCGATTGGGGGTCGAATATTGATTCGAAAAAAATTCATCAGTTTTTCAGTGATAGTTTTCAAAAATTAAAAGTGATATCCACCAAACTCACGTTTAGCCATGTCATTACATAGTTTTGAGGTGCTGTTCTTTGTTTTTTAAAATTGATATCAGTTATGCGAAAAATCGACAAAAATCCATGACTTTGGGATATCCGATTCAAATCCAATGTAGCTGGTTTTTAGCTCTGCTTTTCGCAAACTGCAAAGAATTTTCACGAAAATCATGTTGAGCATTATTTTAATCAACAGTTATTAGTTGCTGACCTTTTTTTCAATATCGCTATCAATTATCGTAAAGAACCGATAACATCATGCCACTTTTGACTTCCAATTCAAATCCATTCAAGATGATTTCTTGGCTATATTTTTTGCAAATGGCGAAGAATTTCCGTCAAAATTACGTTGAGCATAGTTTTTATCAACAGTTTTGAGGTGCTGACAGTCATTTTCAATATCAATACCAATTACTGGAAAAATCGATACAGTCGGTCATTTTAGGAAATCAGATTCAAGTCCAGTGTAGCTGATTTTTTTGACTATATTTTTCGCAAATGGAGAAGAATTTTCAGCAAAATTCCCGTTGAGCCAAGGATTTAGCGACAGTATTGAGGTGCTGACTTTCGTTTTCCATATCGGTTTCAATTATCGGATAAAAATCGATGTTCACTAACGGAGCTATTTAAGGTGAAAAGGACTCTTTGATTATTAATATATCGGCGTCGGTGGTCGGCAAAGCTGTTCTTCTTAACCGCAGTTTGCACACATTCACTAAACCCTATATAAATATATATAAACCCTACTTAAGTAAACGGCTGGCTTAGTCTTGTTGGAAAGAAACTTGACCTAGTGGTGTATTTGTGTCCATTCCTTTTCTTTTGGCATAAGTCTTTTTCCCTGCAGGACTCGTTTAACATATCGGCGTCGAGCTGTGTTCATCCAGCTTGTAGTCTTGTTCACCTAGTCTAAAGCTGCATAAGTCTTATTGAACCGAGAATGATTTGACTTCATTTCCTGAGCGTACGAACGCACGTGACTCCTCCCGCACACACTCGGCAATTGTTGCGGCGCACGAACCAAAGTAAATCACAGCTGCATGTAGGGTACAATAATTGTGTTAAGCGCAATGGTTTGTGAATTGGGAGTACTGGGACTAGCTGTTGTTGGTTTTACTGCGGACGTTACACTTTTGGGAAAAAAACCCCAGTAAAGTCATGGAGTTGCAATGCAGCATTTGGCCTTCCATAAAGTTTGAAGTGTTGTATCGTAGAAGAGCGATTTCTGTGGGTGCTTCATTGTAGACAGATCTACATCGAAGCACCCACAGAAATGGCACTTCATAATAGAAGCTGGCTCAATAAGTAAGCGAAATACTCAGAACTTATTGCCGACTGGCCAGCACTCAGGTTTCAACCTATTGAATTAACGTTTGAAGTAGCTGCAGAGAGTAGTAGGGGGCATTGTGCGCTCAGCTATTCAAAAATGTTGGGAATGAATGCAGCATCAGCGATGCATTTGACTGGGGGGCGCTTAACACAGTTATTGATGCGTTCACAGCGTAGATGGTCGTGGTGTAATGGAGATGAAAGTGGCAGTAGACGGGAGGGTTTGACAGAAAAATCAAGCAGCAATGCGAATACGCCGAGGGCAGGTGGAAGGAAGTGTTTATCTGGCGCGGTGTAGTAACAATGGGAGACAAATATCACGGACGTCTGTAAGGCAGGTGAAGGTGTGTTAAGAGGAAAAACTGCTTTTTGAAATCGGAGCTTTCCGTGGCGGTTTGTACTGTCATTGACGGTTTATACAGTTCTGAAGACCGTATAGAGGCAAACTGTCAGCCGACGCTTACGTCCCATCAACCTACAGAAACTTCAACATTTATTTCAGAACAACTGGCAGTGTAAACGAATACGTCCTCGCTTCTACCTACAGACGAACAGCCAACGTAAAGCTGACCGTGGGAAAAACACTGCACTCTAAGGTGAATTCTCGCAACACGTAGTGTTTGGTCCTGAGATTTATTAACAGACATTGCAAAGCAAAGTCTTACGGGAAACCGCGACTGGCAGAATGTAAAGGGCACATCTGAACCCGATGGAGATAAATGCATGCGCGGTATGAATACAGTTTCACCCCTTCCGCAACCGTTAAGAATTGTCGCTTCAATTAAATTTGTTTTTTTTTTCGAGCAAGAACGGCTGTATGAGAGAGCCAGTCAAGGTCATTGTAATTGGCAGTAAGATGCGGAAAGACGGCATCTCTGAGCTGTTGATGGGTGTCAACAACTGAACACAGTGTTCCCACGTTAATGTAGTGTTCTGCGTCTGAAGGCGTTCGGCCCTCCCCGAAAGCTAGAGGGCCCCTTGAAAAATCAGCGGACCCGTTGTCTCCAGTAGTATGAGCGAGCATGTTGGTGGTCAGGTGCAATGACTGGACATGGGCGCAGAGATTGGACGACTTAAGGCACGCAGGGACAGCCTTGGCCCTAGTCTTTTTAGGAATGACAGGCAGGGCTTGTCCAAAGTCACCTGACAGAAGGAGAGTCAAGCTACCCCTGAGAGCAGTTGAAGGGACCTATTCAACGCCTCGAGTGCTTGTTTGTGAGCCATAGTGCACTCGTCCCACACTATGAGTTTACAACATCTTAATACGTCAGCCTGACCTGAATTTATTGAAATGCTGCAAGCTGGAATTCCAGCATTGGCAATGTCAAACGGAAGTCTAAAAACAGAGTGCGCCGTCCGTCCGACTGGAAGCAATGTGGCTGCAATCCCGGATGGTCTCCGTGCCGCCTCATTTCTGTAATGAACGTTATCCCGGTGCCATCGGGTGCGTCTAGGAAGAAGATGCCACCGCGCTGTTATCAGATGGCTTCATTCACTGTGGTGTAAGCTGTTCTTTGTTCTGGTAAGAGGCGTAATTCATTCTCTCCGACATATTGGTCGAGGTCAGCAGTGCAATAAGACGATTCGCGCAGTATTTCTGGTGATAAATCGGCGGTGCCATCTCGCACTGGTGGAGGTAAACCGTAAGTAGTTAGCGCAGCTCCACCCATTTCAAGGACAATATCTTCAACCTGAATGAACTCCCTGTTGTAATTAAGGTTCGTGTAGCCCAACTTGGCTGACGGACATTGCTGCTGTGCCGTGTACAAAATGTCTTCCGACATGAAGTCTTTGAACATAAAAAACACGGGGTCACTTATTCCGCATCTTACTATTAAGATCGCGAATAAGGATCGAAGGGTCGCAGGTGCCTATAAAAGAGCTGCCTCTGCCATTGCAGCATCCCATTGAGAATCATCCTCCAAAAGGCCACGTTTAAGGCAAGCACAGAACACCGTCAACAGTGCGAATGGCCTCAAAGCTTGTCGGACCAACAACCTCATGAAGGAGAAGCCGGAGGAAGAATCACTCCTGATGATGTCGTGACAGAGTATAGACCCGAACAAAGGCAGTTGTCAAACTTAAAGCCGGATTACCCGTCAACCCGACTTCCTGCCACTCCAAATATTGTTCGCCCAAACGTAGTATGATGGAATAGCAAAACTTGAGCGAACTAGTCATGAAGGCACAACTTAAAAAAGGCTGCTAAAGTTGTGTCTTTCGGGTTTTCGGCGATAGCTCCCGCATTTCGTTCAGTGAAATAAATCCGCTGTCCGTTCTCTAAATGCACTGCTAGCAGTAGGATTCTTTGATGCCTCTGGTTAATTGGGAAGCCGAAAACGCGCCAAAAAGCCTCCTTGCTGCTGAGGTACCGCGCAGCCAAATACTGCTAAATTTCGTCTCGGCCGTTGTCCCCCATAACGCTGAACATAGCGGCATTGCTTCCATTGTTAACGTACTTACATATGTATTTAATTGAGCGGATGGAATTGCAGAACTCAACGTTTATATGAGCATTAAATATTTTTCGGAGAAGGGGACAGTATGGGACCACCCAATTGTTGTCAACACGGTGCCCGCACAGTGCCCCAAATTGCATCGTTCGCCCGCCCCTGGTCGGTTTGCGTCTCATCACCAAATGTCTTAGGAAACCCCTTAGAGAACGGTGCACCGTTTTGACAGCAAGGGCTGGCCTCGTAGCCTGGACCGCATGGACCATCGACCATGTGGGATCTCGCAGCCTCGAATAGGTCCCTGTCCTCATCCGGATCCGGAATTTTGGTAGAAATGACGCTGTCAATTTGACTGGCGTCAATTTTTGTAAAAAGCCAAATAAGTACGTGGTCATGAGATAGCCCCTTTTTTTCCACTCAACAGTGTACATGTCACATCTAACAGACTCAAAAATCTTCCCCAGTTTTACTATTAATTCCATAAGTTTTCCCAGTTTTAAGCGGAATACGCGGGCGGTAATGTCATGTCTCTGAGTGTAATCCTGTGAAGGTAGGGATTTCACACGTTGACTTCATTTCGAAGGCTGTCGCGTAAGTGTACGTAAGAGTCTGAGCGCAGCTGTTTCTGATGATTCCGTATAAAACAAAGCCTCTCCGATTCCATCTTAGCGGTCATGTCAAGCGCAAACTGGTGGAAAAAAGCTCCCTGAAGGTTGAAGTCTCCATCCCTAACCATGAAACGGTATAAGGAGAAGGCCTTGCACAATAAGGCTTTGGAAGACGTTTTAGGTTAGCCACCCGGAGTATGAAGGGGAATGCCGAAGTGGTAGCCATCATCGCCATAAGGGAAAACTAAAGGGTACTGCAATAAGTCATATGATCGATGAGACTCTGAAATCCGGTGAAGAGCGCCGCCTTTGATTTGAGGACAATATCGCGTGTGCGGTCTTGCTCCCCATGTATAATAGCGGCCACTGTTTCGGCGGCGTTCGTGTTCATCATGAGGCCGTTTGTCAATTACAGTGATGAAAGAAGGAAAGGGATCATTTTCCATAGCATACTTGAACCTGCGAATGTAGTTGTTAACCTGTTGGGACAGTCAAATACGGAGGGGGCGGCACAGACCGGCAGGCACAGACCCCAAGGCGTTGAGTTGTTAACCTGTTGGGACAGTTAAGGCGGGCGGCAACAAAAGGCGTTGAATGTTGCCGTCGAGGCGATGTCGCCGTCGAGGCGTTGGAGAGTTTGAGATAAGCGTACAGCGGCAATGTTGATAGCAGCTCTTGAAAGTCTGTTTGCTCTTGTTTCTGGCAACAGACGTCGCTGCAGCGTTGCGGGCATTGCGGGTTGTCCGCTGCAGCTCCCTCGACCTAGCTGTTGCAACAGCGTCCCTGGATTGACCGGCGCGCCTGCGGTTAAATTTTTCGACATGGCAGTGGTGGCTTTGATATTTCTAGCATTTCGACTGGTGGACCTGTGAATGCGGATGGCGCTGCTTTGAGCGACCTGTGAAAGCAGCCCTGGGACTGCGACCTTCTTCTGTTGCATGGGGAAAAGCAGCTGAAGGAGTGAAGGAGCCTATCGTTTCAACCGGAAGACGGTGTAACAGAAGCAGAAGTGAGACCTTCGTCCCACAGCTGTGCACAACAGATTCAAATGCGAAGTATTACTGGCCAAGCGTCCTAGGGTCTCGAACACAAATCAGCGACCACGTACTGCACTCAGCCAATGAGATAACGCTATGTGAAGCATGATCTCGCGTGTGTGAATAACAATCAGCTGTAGAGTCTGTAGTGTAGACGTCTCAGTTGAACATACATTTGATTGGTGTATTCGCAAATTCCGATGAAGACATGATTTTATCGATTTCCCTCAGTACTGGTCAAAAAGAAGGTCACAGGGCAAAAGTTTTTAATTGTCACGACTTAAGCCGATAAAGTTAATCAAAATGCCAAGCAAGATGCGAAAAACATCGCCAAATTCAGGTAAACTCGATTTGAATGGGAAGTCAAACGGGGTATGATTTCATCGATTTTTATCCGATAATTGAAATGAAAATCAGCACCTCAATACTGCCGGTAAATCCTTGGCTCAACGGAAATTTTGTTGAAAATTCTTCGCCATTTGCGAAAAATATAGCCAAAAATCAGCTGTCACAAAGTGATCGATTTTTTCCAATAATTGATATCAATGAATGTCAGCGCCTCATAACTGTTGATAAAAGAAATACTCAACGTAATTTTGGTGGAAATTCTTCGCCATTTGCGAAAAATATAGTTAAAAATTAGCTTGACTGGATTTGAATTGGATTTGAATTGTAAGTCAAAAGTGGCATGATGTTATCGATTGTTTCCGATAATTGAAACTGATTTTGAAGAAAAAAATCAGCAACTAATAACAGTTGACTAAAATAATGCTCAACATGAATTTCGTGAAACTTCTTTGCAGTTTGCGAAAAACAGAGCTAAAAACCAGCTACATTGGATTTGAATCGGATATCCCAAAGTCATGGATTTTATCGATTTTTCGCATAACTGATATCAATTTTAAAAAACAAAGAACAGCACCTCAAAACTATGTAATGACATGGCTAAACGTGAGTTTGGTGGATATCACTTTTAATTTTTGAAAACTATCACTGAAAAACTGATGAATTTTTTTCGAATCAATATTCGACCCCCAATCGGTTTTATCATTTTTTTCCAAAATTGGAGGAACAATCGAAAAATCCTAAGACGTTAAGTACGAACGCGGTAAATTTCCGATCTGTGTGTGAATTCTCATGCCAATTGGACGAACGGTTTGCTTGAGGTAACAAGTTGACAAACACACAGACACACTAACAAAATGCCATTTGTAGATACAGATATATATATATACAAAATATATATATATATATACAACTATATATAAATATATATAAAATACACACACACATATAATATATATATATATATATATATATATATATATATATATATATATATATACTAGCATCATTACTCGACGTTTCCTGGGTTTATTCAAAAAAGATCACGAACCTCATCCAATCTGTAAAGTTAAAATAAAGAAGATTTTTTAGTGCCTCTTATCTATATGGCAAAAAATGTTTAATGACATGAAGTGAGAAAACACTTATAACAAGAAAAAGTTGTTTTTTACAGAAGCACAGAAGATACAAAAAAATGTCAGCAAACGAAGAGTACATTAACCGCAATCGATCATCGAAAATTGTTGAGGAGAAAAGCTTTGTTGACAGCTTTGGCTCAAACTACATCGAATGAACAACATGCATTGGAAAGAGAAGAAATTCAACAAAGTCTTCTGTTAGCAGCCGTGCCAAGGCCCGAAAACCAACGTTCACAAAGATTGTATAGAATTGTTCTTTGCCTTTCAGTTCCTTCCTCGTCTAGTTAGCTGTTGCTCATTAAGTTCTGATGACCTTGCATTAGCTGTACGAATAGCATTTTGTGTCAGTCTAATTTGAGTTTCTTCTCCGTGCTTTCATGCGTTTGGCTGTAGTAGTATCACTTCAAAGCGAAGGATTTCGCTTTCTTGGCATTACTGTCAGACTGTAGTTGGAGAGGTTTGGCTAAGCTTTTTGAATAACAATGAAGTAATCAATTAAAAAGCAAGAATATTATGCACATTAACGGAAATATAGCGACAATAAATTAAATGCAAGTTTATAAGGGAGACAACGGGAACGTGGTAAACAATTATAAGCAAGCTCGTAAAGTTAAGATTTATTTTAAAATAGACTACAAAAACGTTCTAGTGATAAAAATAAAAATTAACTTGCAGCTAGAAACCTACTCACAATAATGTTAAAACGTACACGCTAAGTTTAGCATAATTATAAATGAATCGAAAGAGGGTCTTTACATTATTATAAGTGCATTTTTCAGAATAAAACTGTCAAAATTTTAGGGCTCAAGTTTCCAAATATATGAGTTAGTAAGCAATACTTAAACGCTGATTAGAAGATAATAAATACATAATTAAACATTGGCATCTACGCTTAGACTTTTTTAATAATATGATTTTCAGAAATTTAAATTTAAAATATCCAAAATTCAAAATATGCAGGCATGAAGGCAGCCTATCTTTTTACTGGATGACAGCTTTAATGCGAACGAGATTTTTGCATTTATTTCATCACATAGCACTAATGAAAACTACAAGTGAAACAAAATCGTTAGTACGCACTACATAACTCGATCGAGCACGTGGAGTAAAATCAATTGTACGCACTACATATCTCGATCGATCTCGCACACGCGTCTTATACCTACGTACACTTCTCTCACCGGTGCACAATTTCGTTTGCACTTATTCTTTTTTCTGAAGGAAGGATATAATTTTTGCCGTCGAGTTAACGGATGGTGTTTTTTTTTACGCTGCTAGCTGTGATAAGGATGGTGGTGTGGACCTCGCAAAAGGAGGGAATGTTGCAGAATGAACGTTATTTGTGTCAGGACTTGATTGTTTTCTTTAAGCTTCAGGTTAGGGTGAAAATCATATCTGATCGAAAGCGTTTTTCGACAGATTTCAGCGAAAGTTGGGTGACTGAGTTGAAACGTTTTTGTGTGAACAGGGCTAGCCTCGATTTTTTTTCTCTTTTAAATCCCCTTAATGTAACGGGTCGGTTTCCTGTGAAATTTGTGAATTTGTTGTTGTGTTCTTCTTGGCCTATTCCCAGCATTTTTTTTTTTATGATCCATGTCGAGATTTCCAATCTCCCCAGTTTTTTGTCCCCTGTTTTCATCACGGTTGGATCAGCCTTTGATTTTCCCATTCCGTCAATTATTTTCTCTCCCCATTCCATTAGCGAGTGTGCTTAATTCTGTCTATCTACAGAATACAGCGGTCACTCTTATTATTTTGAGGGGTGGGTGGGTCCTACTAACATTTGTTTACTTTTAGTTTTATCTTTGTGTTATATTTTTAGTTTGGCTTCTGGGTTAATCCCCCGCCATCATTTCATGTATCAAATTTGTATTCATTTTTGGGCATTATAATCTTTCAAATGTTCATGTCATGGGTTGTTTAGTAGGTTCCCTGTGAATATGTGATCTTGTGTTAGGATTGAGAGGTGATGGATGAATTTTTGTGGGGAATGAGCAAATTGTAATGAATCAATGCGTCGTAATTCGGATTAACTAGGACTAGAATAGATAATGAAGTACAGCATCTTCCTTTTTTTCAACCCCTTCGGACATATGCAACAATTTTGTAAAAATTCCAAAAGAAATAGCCGAACTCTTTTACCA